AAAAAAAAAAAAAAAAAAAAAAAAAAATAGTAGGAAGGCCGATTGAACAAAGGCACAGAAGTTGATTAGTCCCACCCACCACCACCACTACCATCTAAGGGAGGGAGGGAGGGGAAAGGGAAGGAGGATAAAAAAGAGAGAGGGAGGGAGGAAGGGAGAGAGGAAGGAAAGAAGGAAGGAGGGAGGGAAGGAAGGAACAAAGGAAGGAAGGAAGGAAGGAAGGAGGGAAGGGAGGAAGCAGCCAGACACTCACTTGGGCTTTGGGGCCGTCAGACACTTTAAAAAACACTAAATATGGAGGCATTGCATAGGAGACAAGCTATCCTACTTGGCCCCTCATTGACCCACATAAAAATAAATCTATTATTTTCTGCTGCAGTCACACATCAAGTACAACAGTCTAAGTCCTTGTAAGGAAGGCACAGGAATGTTCCCAGGGCTCTCCATTACATGTTAACAAAACTACAAAGTGAAGATTTCCAAATTGAGGGTCTAAATGGAAAGTGCTCTGTGTATGTTACACATCTGAATGAGACACTGTGAAAATCCAACACTTACTAATTCTCAAAGTCAATGTAAGATTTTGTGCCAAAAAGCAAACTCCTAGGCTGGATCTCTTCTTTTCCCTACCCTCCTCTTTGTGAATTTCTTGATGAAGTATTGATTGCCAAGGTCTCTGCAAGATTTGCAAACTTTTATAGTCATTTATGGTGTACGCAATAAAAAGAGGTGATATGAGCACACTAGTTCAAGGTGTAATGCAAAGATGTATTCGGTGCCCTTGGCAACTATCTGTGCAACCTGTTTGTCTTTGCAGCACACACCCTTCTCTGCAATGAACTCCTCTGGAACAAAGATTGGCCCTTTACCTTTCCAGACCCATGGTGCTTCAGGGGAAAGGCACAAACATTCAAAGCAAAAAACTCAGTTATTTCAACTACCTTTCAAGTCAGAGGGAAAAAAACTTCTCATCAAAATTGTGCTAAAGCAGGAAAAAAGAAGCTCTTTAGAATTTCATAAAGAAAATTAAAGTAAATTGATTAGTAATTAATCTTTAACTATCCCTTGCATATCAGAGTTCTATTGAGCTTTCCTCTGTGAGAAAACAGAAGGGTTGGAATTGTAAGGTATTGTGGTACCATACTACTTTGGGTTGCATATGTCTAAACAAGAGAGAGAGAAAAAATCTTGAATGCGTCATATGAAAATACATCTCTAGTTGAGTACAGAGTCATTGCAAGATTTTAGTTTTACAATTTTGAAATAA